GTTTCTTTAATTTTAACCTTTCGTCGTAATGCTCTGAGTTTCTGCAGGTATACAAAAATATAGGTACTTGTTTTGACAAGGTGATTTGACAAGTGAATCAATCATTGTACTATGGCCGATTGTGGTTAAGCATTGCTCATATATACATAAGATGTAGTATAAATGCTAAAATGTATAGTACAAATAAGATATTGACCTGTCTGGCAGGTATCATGGGTATGCATGGGTGTATGTAGTATACATAGATGGGTTGATATTTGATACACAAGCCCTCCCTAGTTATTTGTCTTTATGGTCCCAGTAATAAAAAATATTAATGTATAGTTGCAGCAAAGATCAAAGGCCTAACAGTTGTGATAAAACCCACAGAACACTTCCACCAATATCGCAGTGTGATATTATAAATAGCACACTCATTTATTTAATGTGCAGCAGTGTGATATCAGTGATAGCAGAGCACGTGCAATCTTTGCTGGAACTATACACTAAAACAATTAATACATAAAAAACTAATAATAAGACTCTCTTACTTTATTATTCTTACAAGATTTCTTTCCACATGAGCAATAATCTTCTATACACAACATACCAGCTGCCTTACATGGACATGCTCCTTTGCCTTTCCCATGAACACAGGCTGTCTTGCAACTACACCAAAGCCTTTGAGGCTTAAGAGCAGAGGCAGTGGGATAACTATACTCATCATCTGTGGATGAACTAGATGTCTCACTGATTAATCCATCCATTGCTTTAGCCACTGTATAGCGTGCTCACTATTCTGTAGTCCTCCCGATACCTGCAGGTGTCCAAAATGTGTGCTGCTTATGATAACTATATCTACTATAAGTACTACAAGTGCCATCCAATAGTGGTGGGCGATACTATCCAAATAGTATCGATACAACCGATACTGGGCCAGTATCGAGTAGTATCGGTATCGAAAATTTAAGAGCAGCAGTATCGATACTGAGACCACACGTCTAACCACGCCTTAATTAATTAATTTTAAGCACGTTTGTATCCATTATTTGTGGTGAATTAACTGAAATTAATTAATAAAGGGTGTGGTTAGTATCATATCGAATAGTATCGATACCAGAATGAAAATACTCAGTATCGTATCGAATCCAAAAAATACAGTATCGCCCACCACTACCATCCAATGCATCTCCCAGTTATTCACCTCTTATGGCTTTAGTAATAAAAACTACTTCCTCGTCATAGCTGCTTTGTAGTATGGTGCGTGGGCGGATCAAAGGCACCGCCAGTGCTATAACTTCCAATAACTGCATGGTAGGAAAATGTAGCACTGTGTGGAATATATAGTACTGCACAGTATAATATGTATGAGCATTCCTGTTAAAATTGACATATCTTATAGGTACATCATAAACTGTACATACATGTACATGTATGCAAGTAGAGCTGATTTTAATCGAGAATGATTTTTCATGAAACTTGACAAAAGTCTATGTACTATATATAACATGTAGTACAAGGGCATCAGCCAATTTTTGTCAAAAATGTCAAGTAAAGAATTCTCAATTTTTATAACATTTTTTAATGCATATACATGTTCTTATGTTGTGTAGAAAGTTTGAAGTGATTCCAATCGAATTTGAATTTTTTACGAATTTTTAAAGTTGTTAAAAAATTGGGTCAAAGTCCCTGTGCTATAGTACAGGGGTGTTGGCCAAATTTCGCCAAAAACGTCAAGTTGAGAATTCTTAGTTTTTTATAATATTTTCTGATACATATACATGTTTTTATGTTGTGTAGAAAGTTTGAGGTGATTCCGATCAAATTTGGATTTTTTACGAATTTTTAAAGTTGCTCAAAAATTGGGTCAAATTCCCTGTACTATAGTACAGGGGCATCAGCCAATTTTTGCCAAAAATGTCAAGTAGAAAATTCTCAATTTTTATAGCATTTTCTAATGCATATACATTTTTTATGTTGTGTAGAAAGTTTAAGCTAATTCCAATCAAATTTGGATTTTTACAAATTTTTAAAGTTGCTCAAAAATTGGGCCAAAGTCCCTGTAACAGGGGCATTGGCCAAATTTTGCCAAAAATGTCAAGTAGAGAATTCTCAATTTTTATAACATTTTCTGATACATATACATGTTCTTATGTTTTGTAGAAAGTTTGAGGTGATTCCGATCAAATTTGGATTTTTTACGAATTTTTAAAGTTGCTCAAAAATTGGGCTTTTGGCCAAAAAATGACTTGGACCTACTTCTTTATTTTCATAATAATTTGCTTATTTTTAATGTATAATTGTACATTCTAATTTTTAGTTCTCAAGTCATTGAAGGAGTCGAAGTTTTGAGAGAGTTAAAAACAGCATCAAGAGGAGGAGAAGGAGGGGGAGGGGGCGGGTCAATGGGTGGAGATGATTCAACCGAATCACATGTGATGTCACATGTTGACTGTATCACTTCCTTAGCTGTCATTCCGTATAAAAGTCCACAGAATTTAACGCAACAGTTTATCATCAGTGCCTCTTGTGACGGTATTATTAAACTTTGGAAATAACCATCATTAATTTTTGTTCAAAATTTTGTTTATTATTATTGTGTGTGTGTGTGTATAATAATATATATAGAATTTTATTATTATTATAAAGTATATTACTGATGTAGATCAAAGAAGCTGTGAGGTCTGCTAATTGTGACAGCAGACCCTTGGCCTTGGTTTTGGGTGTTACTAGTTGGTTAGCAGTCCGAGGTGAAGCCAAGGGTTGCTATCCAACCAGTAATATCTGAAACCGAGGCCAAGGGCTAAACTGTATTTATAATAATGAAATTGAAACATAAATCCACTAAAATGTAATAACAACATCGACAATAATGGCAATAAATAAATGAGGCAAACACAAGAACAACATGATCATATATATACATTACGTAATAAATAAAAGTCAACAGCAGTAATGGAAGCTACAGCAGAGATGAAAGTTAAACTGTTTATGCATTAGCTTTAAAAGAAAACAATTGCAAGTACATGCAGCCAGCAAAGCTACGCAAAGAGACACGATGCTGGGAACTGCAATAAATGATGAGCTTGGGAATGAATCTGGAGGCTTATTGGTAGCCTCAACTTTGTAAGTGGTTGAATGCGTAGATACAGTGGACGAAGGTCTGACTATTGTGGATGAGTAAAGGACTTCTTGAAGAGCATCTGAATATGCCTGGGGCTGTTCTATTTCGTAAACGTCCATTAACAAGAATTGATCAAAATTTTCGCCTTTCCCATCTCTACAGAAGTATCCTTCGAACTGAGTATAGGCCTCCGTCCTGTTAGAGCCAGAGATGCAGAATCCCAGCCTGACACGAAGGCTTTGTAGTTGAAGTAGAGGGCACCCATACTGCATTTCTCAACTGCTTTTTCGCAAGTGATGGCACTGTCAGAGAGGTCTGGGGTGAGGTTTTCCAATACCGGTAGTTTCAATTCTGTCATCACAGCTGGGACTGCGTAGCAACCCAAACTTTTTAAACCTATAAAGAGAGAAAGAGAGAAAAATTAGTATCTTATTTCAATGAGTAATGGTTTGGACTTGATCCATTAGGAAATATATGTGTACGATTGATTGCATGTGTACATATACATGCTCTTTGTAAAACTTCCAAAAATTCCAATTTTATTGCAAACTTTATACATAAACAAGAAAATGTATCAGAAAATGTATGGACTATGATATAGTACATGGTTTTTTTTCAAACTTTTGCATATGCTACCTACCTCTTAGTGGATTGGGACAATCTTGGCTATTACAATCTTCAGTTTCAGTTTGGCACTGGCTCAGATCAGAGTGACCGCAATTCCTTGATCTGGTTCTTTGGCCAGTTCTACAAGTAGCCGAACAAGATGTCCATTCGCCCCAAGCAGCACCATTATTAGGATCAACTAATGAGAGAGAGAGAGAGAGAAAGAGAGAGGAAGTCAGGTCAAGCAACATCGAAGAGTATTTATTCTATCAGTTTATTCTACTAAGACTTCTTAAGGAAATGTCAACTTTATTTAATTCAAGATACACTTGGCATTATTCCCATTTACAACAGTAGATAAATTAATTTTTGAATACATTAATATAGCCACAT